CTGTCAAAGCAACCATCAGAACAAAGTTCATTGCCACTTGGTAACTGATGCTGAGCAGATTCTCTGGGGAATAGAGAGTGAGAAGTTGTGGGGTGGTGGGCCCATGGCTTAGTAGGGCAGGGTGGTTGGCATGGTATGCGGGACTAGTTGAAAGGATCAATTAATTTAAGTGGCTCAGATCAGTGGAAAGATGTGATATAATTTTGGGAATAAAATGGATTAATAATTTGAGGGTTCTAGTCAGGAAAATGATTGGCTAGGGAGTTCTTGGGAAGCTCTCTGAAGGGCTGGATAGGAAGAGATTTGGGTAAAATTGTTGACAGCCTTGAAAAGGGAGATGACTGTGGTAGGGTGGACAGGCAGCTGGGGGCAGGAAGCCTAACGGCTTTGGAATAATACCTTAGTTATAGGTGTTGTGGGCTTGTCCTAATTTTCTGTATACTGTGGAAATTCCATTTGAGCCATAACTTCCTAACTGCTCTCAATGGTCACTGCTTCCACTTCCTGCTCAGCGTGTACTCCAGGTGGGGAAGGTGTTGGGAGAGCCTATCTCAGGAGGGCTGGGCCACTGTTTCTCTTGAGTGTTTCTGTCTCTCCATTTCCTGGGCCTCATCCCGCTCTAGGACACCTTTACTGCTCATTTGGATGACTCCAATTCATCTTTCAGACTGCCAGTGGTGTGATCACCCTGAAAGGCACCCCTGCCCTCTTTTCCAAAGCTTCTGGGTGCTCCTTCAGCTATCTGGGCACCAACGTGCCTTCACAGACCATTCTCTTAGTCTCTTCACTGTGTCTGGACCACAGCTTACCTCTGCCTTGTTCAGCCTAGTCTCACTTCCAGGTATACCTCCTGGCCGTCCTGTAAGCTCTATTCCAGGGCTTTGCTTCCATTTCCTCAGTGAAATTCTTCCTCCATGCCTTCTCTAGGCTCCTGTAGCAGTCTACAATCTCAGTTCCAGGAAAGAGGGCCTGCTTTTGGCTGTCTTTGGCTTGAACAAGTTAAGCTTCTTGAGAGGTGGTCAGGGTCTCAGTTCTTCTGTCCTCCACTTCTCAGAAGAGGGTCAAAGACTCCAGGCTCTGAGCAGCCTCTAAGGAAAGAAGGCAGGCATGGATTTTGCACTCGGACCCTGAAGTGTTACTCAGGAGGCTGAACAGGGAGTGGAGGAGGCAGAAGAGCTGTGAATGGGTTGAGGCATGGGGGTAGCCCCGTGATGGAGCACAGGGCACTCTGGAAACAAAGATGAGTTGGGTAACTTTCAGTTCTTGTTCATTTCTGAGCCATTTCACACACAAATGAAAACCCATTGGAGGCCTAATTTTCTGGACACATGGGAAGTTAGTATGTACATCTTCCCAAGGTAAAGGTCGATTCTCTAATTTTTAATGAAATATCATGTTTCCAGAAAATTATAAATAACGTTAACAAGTACTTCTTCTGTTGATGGACACTGAGGTTGATGTATTGGCTATTGTGAATGATGCTGCAGTGAATGTGGAAGTATCTCTTCAACATAATGATTTCATTTCCTTTGGATATATGCCCAGAAGTGGGATTGCTGGATCATGATAGTTCTATTGTTATTGAGGAAACTCTATACTGTTTTCTACAATGTCTGTACTAACTTACATTCACACCAAGTGTATAAGGGTTCCCTTTTCTCTATATCCTCATCAACACTTGCATTTTCAATCTACTAAACTGTTTGGTTTTATGTTTTTATGAACCATATTGCTTTAATTACATAGTTACATATTTTACTATCTGGAAGGGCTAGTTTCTCTCTGCAGGGACTTTTTGGAGACATTTTTATTTTTCCCTATACATTTAGAAACAGCTTGCCCAGTTCCAAAATAGCTCTTTGTATTTTATTGTAATGATGACAAATATGTAGTTTAACTGGGAAAACTGACCCTTTAAAATGAATCTTATTCACAACATGATATACCTTCAAGTGATTACATCTCGTTTCTCATGAGCATTTTAAAGTTTTCTTCAACCAAATTAATGCGGTAGTACTAATTTAAAACAAAAAACCTCCTCCTTTGCACTTTCTTTTTTCTTGAGACAGGGTCTTGCTCTGTCGCGCAGGCTGAAGTGCAGTAGTGCGATCTTGGCTCACTGCATCCTCCACATCCTGGGTTTAAGCAATTCTCCAGCCTCAGGCTCCCAAGTAGCTGGGACCACAGGTGCGTGCCACCATGCTGGCTTATTTTTGCATTTTTGATTTTTTTCAGTAGAGATGGGGTTTCACAATGTTGGCTAGGCTGCTCCTGAACTTCTGGCCTCAAGTGATTCACCCATCTTGGCCTCCTAAAGTGTGAGCCACCACCAAGCCCAGCCCCACTTTATTTTCAGTATCTGTATCTATTTTCTCTTGTTTAAATGCAATAGCTATTAGGTCTAGAACAAAGCTAAGTAATGATAACACCACACTATGGTCATTAGTTCAGCTTGGGCTATTCATAATATAATCAATACCCATGATGAAGCCACTGCCCAACCTCAAACTAGATCATTGCCAATAACAATATTTATTTTACTTGCCTGCCTCTTCTCACCACCAAAGTAAACATTACTGAGAATTTTTACTTACTTTTGCTTTTTGGTTCACACACACACACACACACACACACACACACACAGTCAATTCTCATTTCTTGCAGATTTCGTATTTGTGAATTTACCTCTGGCTAAAATTTATTCCTAACTCCAATATCAGTACTTGCTGGGCTTTTGCAGTCACTTGCGGACATGGAGCATGTAGAAAAATTTGAATTCCCTGCTCTCCATGTTCCCAGCTGAGGTGGAACAAGGCCTTCTTGTTTCAGCTCTCATAAACAAGTATCTTTTCAGTCTATTTAGTGCGTCTTTTGCATTTTTATGGATTTTGCTGCTTAAAGTGGCCCCCAAGCACAGCACCAAGTGTTCCTAACTGCAAGAAGACTGTGAGGTGCCTCCTGGAGAAACTGAGGTAAGCTTCATTCAGGAATGTTAGGTTGCCTAAGTTCAATGTTCATGGGTCAACCACATATATACTAAGTTGTCTTCAAACACAAAAACATGTAACAAGTTTACGTACTGATTGGTTGATGAAAACGTGACCAGAGGCTCATAGGAACCCCACCCTGTATTTCCCTCGGGAATGGTTCAGTACTCTCGAATTCAGTGTTCATAGTAAATTATAGTACTATAGATAACAAGAACAGACTGTACATATATATACACAGTCACCTCTTAGTATCCATGGGGGATTTGGTTCCAGAACCTCCCACAGATACCAAAATCCTAATATACAGCATTTGCACATAACCTGTGCATGCCTTCTCATATACTTCTAAGTCATCTCTAGATTACTTATAATACCTAATACAATGTAAACACTAATACTTGTTGTATTGTTTAGGGAAAAATGTCTCTACAGGCTTAGTCCAGAGACAATTTTCCCCTCAATATTTTCTTTTACATTTTTTAATTTTTTTTTAAAGACGGGGTTTCACCATGTTGGTTAGGCTGATTGTGAACTCCCGACCTCAGGTGAAACACCTGCCTTGGCCTCCAAAGTGCTTGGATTACAGGCGTGAGCCACCACATCTGGCCTCCCCTCAATATTTTCAACCTGCAGTTGGTTGAGTCCATAGATGTGGAACCCACATATGCAGATGGCCAACTGTATGTCTCAACAAGTTTCACCTGTTTTTGAACTTTAGGAGTATCATGTCTTCCAAGACCAGCTTTTTGCATTCAACCTTTTATTCACATTCACCTATATTGTTATTCACAGCTGCAGGGTAACTTTATGTCCTTGTTTTAGATGTGTCTCCTATAAATAGCATGATTGGGATTTAATATTCAATGTTCCCCCCTTGGGCTAGTTTAATACTTTTACATTTATTGTAATTACTGATTTATTTGGACTTGTTTTGGCATCTTATTTTGTTTTATCCACCTTTTTTATGCTTATTTCTCAAATTTAAAATTTTGTTTCTTCCCTACTATTCCATGATCTCTCATCACTATTCACTTAGAGATTATATATACTTCTCGTAACTAACCATGGAATTTTATCATGTATACTTAAAAAGACTAAGTTGATATTAACTGGCTCCTCCCAAAAATATAAGAATACTGAAATACTTTGATTAACCTTCTTCCCACCATGCTTTCTACTTTTAACCTCACAATTTGGCCCATCATTAATTATCATTTTGCAGATAACCTCTGTTTACATTTCCCTACCTATAAGAAAGTATCATTACTATTCACCCTTTATGATTCCCATAACTTGTATTTCCTAAGGTTACGCATCTCAGAACTGAGTTCCAGGATGGGGTTCATGTTGCTTATTACTTTCAAACTGTTCAGCTTCAGACATCATAATATCTACCACCTATGTGTGCTTACTACATACCAGGAACTATTCTCTGCAAGTGTTGATTAACCTGACATTTATTAATTAATTGAATCCTCCAAATACCCTAATGGGCTATGTTAATGATGCACATTTTTAACTCTTATAATTTATCTTTCCTAAGGCTACACATAACTCAGAACTAGGATCCAGGCCTTTTTAATTCCCCATTGCCTTTATTCACCTTTCCACTCCAGTATGTAATTTCCTCAGTCCTTGAATAGCGATTTCTTTCTAAGACACAGAGTGGCAAGGTGGAACTTCAGGATACCAGACGAAAGGGATGTCTGAAGTTATACAGGCAAGTACTCTAGCATACAAGGTCCCTGGGAAATGCCATCTAGTCTTTGCTTAAATTGAGCCACTAGCAGACCTCAATATAACCCAACACTGTACTCTCAAGTTACAGACAGCACCTAAGAATTTTCTGAAGTTTTGGGGAAATCTCTTTCATCTTTAACCCACAGATCTTAATTCTGCCTCCCTGAACAAAAGTGGCAAACAGCTCCATCTAACTATTAATGTATTTTAAGATAGTAACTACACACTCTACTCTTTTAGTTCAGATTAAGCATCCAATTTTCTCAGGTATTTTTTCTCCATGGATTCTTATTTTCATTTCCTGTAGAAATCACATGAATCTTCAAGAAAAGATTCAGTTTTGCCAAAGGACACCTTTCCATATTGAAAACCAAAAGAACAGTTTGGTAAAGCACTAACATGCCAAACACATAACCAGCTTCTCCACCTATAATAGTTACTTCCTGGTTTCTGTGTGATCTAAAACATTTTCCTCCCTTCCACCCGGCAATAAACTCACGTAAGATGAAACTAACTTACAAAAGGTAGGCTATGTTTATTAGAGTCACAGGTAGTTGACTGCCTCAGTGTGACTCAAGACCACAAAAAGCCCATTTTCCTTCACTTCTGAGTCCTGGGGTTGAGACCCAGACTGGCAGGTATACTGCCCGGGGCCCATTCACAGGTTTACAAGTTTCTCATTGAGGGCAATCTGTGACTGTGTGAGGTTGGCCAGGTAGGTCACCATCAGCAGGTCCTGGAAGACAAAGAATACAAAATGAGCGAGGGGTTGGATGGAAAGGGAGCACAAAGGCTGGCTTTGGCCAGCTCCATGGTAGACACTGCGAGGACAGTCATGAATAAATGACAGCTAGGAGATACTGAGTAAGAGTCAAAAAGGTAGAAGACAGAAAGGCAATGCTTGAGAAGACTTTCTTATCTCTACTGATACACTTATAGACTAGGGGTGCCTTAGCTGAGACCCATGGATGGAATACAGCGGGTCTGTGAACTCAAACGAGGAAAATAATTGCATTTTCATTAACCTTTGAATTTTAGTTTTTCTTTCCATCACAAATTTAGACAGTAAGTCACAGTAGTATCAGCAGTAACTGAGACAATGGAATCAAGGGAGGAGAAGGAAGGAAATCTTCAACCATGCGTACCACAGCTCTTCCTTCCTCCCAACTTGGACTTCATAGGGGTTATATAAGTGAAGCCCTGTATTGTACTCCAGGATGCCTCGCCCAACTCTCTTCACATTTGAGTGTACATGCTGAGGTGGGGAAGAAACCAGGCAAGCAAGGGCTCGGGAAGGGCACTCACATTGATGTTGCTGTTAAGCATGGTCTCAAAGTCATCAGGAACTATTTTGGGTACTTGGTTAACCAGGCTCATCAGGAATCGGCCCACAGTATTGTCAGCTGACACCTTTCCAGACTGATCATCAAAACAAAGACTCAATGAGGCAGTTAATTATAACCACTGGGCACTACCATTTCATCAGCATGTGCCTCAGTGATTCCAGGATGGAGACCTATGTCCTCCCCTTTGTTTTTTCTTTCCCCTCTCACCAGCACATCCTCTGCGTATTGCAACACCGTGCTCAGTGCATCCTGGATGCGAGCTGATGCCCCTCCTACTTGCTGCAAGTCACTTGAGAGTCCAATCACTCGGTTGGGGCTAAAGCACGTCTTCATAATCAGGTCAACT